TGGCCACCCCCTGGCTCCGCCCCTGGTCATAGGAAACATCAGCCCAATGCTGAGTGTATTTGTAAAAGACTGAACAGCCTTTCCACCTTTTGTGTAGACTGAGGCATTTATTGCAAGCCCTTAGTAAGAGATGTTTATTTTTTGATGAGTTTCATTTGAACTCAGCCTTAAAAGCACTGACTCCACATGGTGGACAAAGAGGTCAGTCACATGCAAAAGCCTATTGTTAAGTGATGCCCCTCTTTTTCTGATCCAATGCTCTTATAGTCATCCTCCAGATTATTCCATAGTCTTATACCTTTTACTGAAGTGCATCTGTCCTTCAAATTTGTTCTGATTTTTGGTTTAACAAACATTTGTAATCCCTTCAAATTATAGCAGCTTTCACTCTTAACAAAATATGATTGGATGTTTGACAGTAACACATTTCTATGAGCCTTGTATATAACCTGCAGAATGTTATAATCAACCAATGAAATTTTAACAACTTTGATTGATGAAATAACATATTAGAAGGGTGATAGTAATGCTTTCTTGTAATAATTCTTATGGCTCTTTTTTTGTAAAATAAAAATAGGATTAGTAATGGTTTTAAATGAATTTCCCCATAACCTTAGTGACGGGACCTTTACAGAGCCTGATGCCCTCCTGGAGAGTGATCTGATGACGTCAAATMTAGAAATATGAACATAAAATTGGATTATTCATGTTTAAAGAGGAGCTTCTACAAGCAGGAAACATTTAACTGTCAGAGAGGAAGGAATGGGTCTAAAATGAAATTATTGAAATGTTTGCTTTTGAGATAATTCAAAATATCAAAACATTTTACAAATYGTGGATGGATGCTTGAACATTTCTGCCATCTGCTGGATCACAATAACATGAGCAACATCGCCTGGTATTTTCAATACAGTATTAGTTTTTCTCTATTACACATATTTTCTAAAAGCATGGCTGATGCTCTCAGAAATTTGAATGTAAAGCAGGAATTGTGTTTGTATTTTAGCAGAACTGGTTAAGGGGATTGGTGCTTAAGTTACATGTTGGGGTCATTTTGTCTCAAGCACCAGAAAATGAGTCCAAATCGAGAAAAAAACTCTAGTCTTGAAATATTGCAGGAGTTAAATGTTTTTTTTTTTGAGAAACATTCCTTGTCTCATTCAATTACACCTGAAACCACCTGAAAAAATGAGAACTTTATTACAACACACATACATTATATATCTACTCACATTTCAAGTATATATTTTATATAGTAAACAATAAAAATCAGACACAGTAGATATAAAGTCAGACAAAAATATTGGTATTGTTAAAACACACCACATGCCCATTAACATTCAATACCTGTGGACAATTCACAAAATACAGTCGATCTGAACATGCCAAACTCCTGAAAACCCCAGATACTTTGCATAATAATGTACTGTACATATTTTTGTTGCATATTGACTTACTGTACAAAATTAGCTCTGAATAAGAGAGCATTAAGCACATGAAGCGGGTTTACTGTGCTGCAGTCAAACAGGAAAACGAAAGATAAATGTAAATGATAAACGGCTGAGGCAAAACCACAGTTATATGAACAAGTATTCATGTTTTTGTCTCAAATATATATAAAAAAATAAAAATAACACCTCTAATTGTGTGATAAGGCAACCATGACCACTTTTTTTAATTAATAAAAAAAGTTGTTAAAGCAACTGAGCTCCTATAACTTTAATCAYTTTTGAGTATGGCGCTTTCCATACAATAAAGAGTTGCAATCCCAAGTAAAAAACACAAAAGAAACAACAACAAAGGAAGACATGCTAAAGTTGTGTAGTGCATTWCGAATATCATCTTTTACAGTTCATAAATACCAAAAGTCAACTTCTTTTACTGCTCCCYTGGATCAAATAAAGGGACATTTAACGAGGCTCAGGCTTTTTTAGATTAACAGTTCTTAAAATGGAAAATAAACTAATGAAGGCGCATGGAATGGAACAATATAAAAGTACAAAAAAATCATAAAATACCATTGACTGGTCAGTTCACTCAAATCCAATAGTTACATTACAGACAGATGGGATTAAATCACATAATGCTTTTCTATTTGATCTGAAAGGTCTGTTCAATAGTTGGCATAGGCTGATCAAAATTAGATGAAAACAAAAAATTATCAGATTTAAATTCAGAACCAGCATAACCACCTCAGACCCCTGCTTGCCAAGGAGTCAAAACATAACAGACAGACTTGGCAGCACTTTTGTTTTGAAAATCCAAACCGTTGATTTGGGATATTTACCTTCATCATGACAGAAAACAAAATCTACTTACATGCCATTACCATGTAAAATAAATCTAAAATGGTTCATTGTTTCAGATTAAAAATAACACTAAAACACTAAACTGGGAGATCACAAGCTAAATTTAAGTTTGGTCAAATTACAGTGATGCATCTGCTTAAAAATATGTCTTTGGATAAACTGTACATACTTAAAAATACAAAAATAGAGCAGGCAGCAATTAGAGGATATTCAATTTTCAATGTAAACAGGAAGCGGGGAGAAGAAGACGAACTAAAAAAAAAAAGAACAGGAACGCAGGTGAGAACAATATTTTACAAATTTACAAAGACTTTATATAAAAGTATGCATTTAGGAAGTGCCACACCTGGTTGATGAGCGAAGCTGACACAATGCAGATCTATAATTTTGTAGTGGTCACCCTGCCAGCAGAGATGAGATTCAGCACACACACAAGGCAGAGTTGTGGTGCTGTGACAGGATGTCGCCTTCCTTAGGGGAACTCGTTTCTATATTTTGATCGTGAGACTGRGGGGAATGTTCGCTCGCCTTTTCACTGTTAAGTGTCTTCTGGGAAGAACTTTTGTTAGGGGGCTGGCCGAGGCGATGATAAGGACCTTTAAGTTCGGGGGTTCTGTGTAAAGAACGGCGTGATCTTTTCCCAAGAGGAGCAGAAGTAGCTGAGTCCATCTGGGTGGTTGGGTCTTGTTTTTCAAAAACATTCCCTGAACCGTCTGAAGGGCACGGCGTGGGGTCTGCATCAGGTAGGAGCTGTGTGGTGGTGCAGAAAGCTGCTTCGTACAGACCGAACGCCTGCTCCAGAGGAGTGGAACTGTCTTTGAATGGGGAGGGTGTATCCAGCTGAAACAGGCAAAAATAAATAAATAAAATATTTACATGTGAGCAACAATATGTAGTTATCAAAATGGGTTCTTCACTTAATGTACATTTAACTTGACATAAATACAAATTTATTTCAACCATGTTTAATTATAATAGTTAAAAAAAAATAAACACAACGATATAAAGCAATGTACATAACATTAATAAAAGTGTTTTAAAAATGACAAACAAAATGATCAAATATTTAAACAAATTGATGGAACTGTTTTAGGTACACTGCATCATTAATACAGTGCACATAACTATGAAGTTTGACAATAAAGGGTCACTGAATGCCAGGAAAAAAAGGCAGGGAGTTCTTAAATTTGCATTTACGTACTTAAATAAAAATATATATATGTATTTATTTTTTTCTTGGGTAAGTGTGTCTTTGGATATTGGATCACAATGCTGGATAAAACGTTCCAAACAGCCTTCAGACAGGTACAGTAAAGTGATTTGAATATGATATTATCTTAATAAACTCATCAATTTAAAAACTAAAGGCAATTAATGGTTTATACTTATCATTAGGAGTATTTAATATATAAAGTGTACACAAAATTGCAACTATTGATAAAAAAATGTTAAATATACAGTGCCATCATTTAGATATTTTGGATAAAAACAGAAGGATAAACATGTCATTTCTGCCAGCAACATTGGTATTAAATGTAATGCCTGAAAATCCKTTGTACAAGCTTGGATGTCACAGCAGCCTGACTTTGTTACCACTGAAATACCAAAAGTGTTAAACTATAGTTGACTGCAGGCATCACAAAAAAATGTATGGGTGTGACTGAATGAATCTCCAGAAAGCAAACAAAAGAAGAATGGACACTTGCAGGGTCAACAGTCTCAGCAGAGATACTCAAACACATTCAGTAAGTTTAAAGGGGAAACATCATGTAAAATCAACTTTTTTGAGTTTTATATCATGTTATAATGTTATACTCTCATAAAAAACATGCCCAAAGCCTTGCTTTGACTCATTCATGCATGTTTGAGGAATCCTGCAGCGTTTTTAGGAAGCCATGCTGAGGAGCAAAACGACAGGTGGGGACCAGAAACGCCTTTTGGGACCAGAAACATCTCTGGGACGTGTCTTTGAGCCGAGCTTCCTCATGGCAGAGTGCACCCCCTCCCACCCATGACTCCTGCAGGCTCTCAAACAACGGGTGAAACTGAGAGTGAAACTTTATCTGCTGAGCTCTTAACACTATTTCTCACTCAGTGAAGCTCTTTTCGGATTCAAAATACCTTTGAGGAAATGTATTCAGATGCCAAGTAAACTGTATCATGGCCTCAGACTTCAAGGTGCTAATTATCAGATGGACCTTTTCACAGTTGGCTGCAAACTTCCAAAGTACCTGATGGAAGTTCACACTTGAAGCCAACAGGACCACATCTTGAGCTCAAAGCAAAGATGTGATCTAAAGCCAATTAAACTGAAAATTTTCTGCAGACTGAGAGATTATGTCATTTGACTGTGAACATAATTAATCACAAAGGCAAAGTACAGCTCCCACAGAAACAAGTCTGATTTCTCCTCTTTTAAAAATTGCTTGTGCTTTTTGCATCTTAATGGCGCCTCTTGAATCAGTTCAATGACTAAAAAATAATTTTCTATAGGGCATCTAGGCCAAGGCACAGGCTCCTTTCAGCTGTTTCTCCTTTGGTTAGCTCAGTAATTAAAGTGTGAAGATTCTGAAAATTATTAGGATTATTTAGGAAACAAAGTATTTTTAAGTTTGAACTTAGGGACCTCAAGCTCATCATGTGTTCTGGCCATTACTACTAGAACCTTTTTAGCTGAAGGCAATTGCCCTCGATTTGTGCCCTTTAGACAATTAACTTCAATACAAGTTTCAACTGAGATTATAAAAACAAAAACAAACAAAAAAAACAGGTCAGGTTTGTAGTCAATTGTTCAAGTTGATTGATCAGATTGTTTTTTATGTCACATACTAAAAAAACAGTTTCACTGGTTAACTTGTGTGGGGTTTTGGTCTTACCTGTGACCTTGTCACTGTTTATCTGCCTCATTCTCATATGGGTGTGAACGAGAGGCTCAAATTATGATTGATATTTAAGCTATTTTGTAAGCTTCAGATGTTTAAAGAGTCTTTTGAGAGCAACGCTAAATATGCTAAAGCAGGGTCTTCAACCCTGTTCCTCGTAACCTACTGTCCTGCATGTTTTAGGTGTTTCCCTGCTTGAACACACCTGACTGAAATGAATGAGTAGCRGACAGGCTTCTGCTAAACTTGATGACATTCTGAGTATGTAATTCATTATTTGATCAGGTGTGTTGAAGCAAGGAAACAGTTAAAACATGCAGGACAGTGGGTCACAAAGAACAGGGCTGAAGAACTCCATGCTAGAGTATCAGATACATAAAGGGGGCAATGCATCATTATTTTCTTGCAGCCACATATCAATACACCATGGAAACACAAGGCAAGGTGTGCCAAATCGGGATAAGAGTTTTACTATACCATCTTACATGGACTATAACGTTTTATAAATTGCATATCATTATTTGTATTTTACGTAATTTAATACCATTTAAGAATCACGTTTAGCATACCTGCAAATAACTAATTTCAGTATGACAAAAAAAATACACTCATTAGTTCTTCATCAGTCCATACTTAGTTTAACCCATCACATGACCTGAGGAMCAAGTCCCAAAGTGGTATGTGGAGAAACAGATAGCTATGGTGCATTGGTTAAAATGCATTTTGTCAAAATATAATGATTAAATACCATATTAATGGGTCATTTAAATTAAATATCAGAAATATAATCTTTAAGAATATATTTGAAGCCTGTTTTTGAGCAGTAGCTACAAAAACAAGATTTTTTTTTCAGAAAAGCCTTCAAGTTTTGTAGCCATTTTTCATTTTAGATGGTAAATCTCAATATCCAATTTTTTTAGGTTTCTTCTTTAAAATGACATAAACATTCCTCAGACCAGATATCAATGGGTTATCTTGATTAGCAAGACAAATCAAGTCATATCTCTTGGAAAAGCTAAGGATAATCCAGGTGTCAAAACTGTATCTTAAAAAGCATTGAATCTGAAAATGTGCTTTGCTCATTTTGACTGAATTTAATTTAATCCTCAGTTTAATGAGATGGGTCACATGCAACAGCACTAACGTCCATGCATATTTGTATTTTCTAGTCAACAGAATATAAACCAATGTACCACAATTCAATTTAACAACTAGACGAGTGACTCATTGGATTTCTTCAATCCAAACAGCTTAATTTTGAAACGAGTTTCATCTTGAGCTAACAAACAGACTACTGATTGGTAATTTTATGGATCATTTGATACATTTTTTTTATTACTAAGCAGTCACCTCACTACCACTCCAGGCATGTCCATTCCACATGTTCTTCTCCATATATTTCATCCTCTTCATAAAACATGCCATCCTCATGCTCCGCCTGTTGGCCCCGAAAACAAAGAGTGATTTGGTGAACCAATCAACCCCTGATGTGAATGACTGCTGTGACCTCAGATTTTAAGTGATGTGAGTATTAAGATTACAATAAAAACTGAACTGAAATGTATAAAAGACAACACAGGAAAACAACATAAAAAAGGGAAATAACACACAGTAAAATCATACAATGAAACTTTTTCTGCTGTTAGAGCAGCAGCTCTGCAGCTGGAAATCTTATGTTTTCCGTCAAGATTTGTCTGGTTTGTGCTAATGAGACATTACAAAAAATAAAATAAAATAAAAAATGCAGCAAAGCCATCACGCTGACCTTTTGGATCTCGCATGTATTATAGGGTGTTCCGGGGTATGGAATCTGGTCAATTCCTGTAGCCATGTCAACAACGATCTCATCTCGGTGCATAGGGATGGGTGGGCCTCCTCGTTCCTGCAGGGCCAGCACGATGACTGTTGTGTTGTCTGCTCGGAGCATGCGCTGTTTCCAAAACAGGAGAGCAGTGCATCCTAGCCTCCGGGCACAAGACATTCCCTTTGGTCCCTTTTTAGATATTAGGATTCAAAAAGAACTGAATTTAAAACAATACTGCAATGCAGAAGGCGTTTCATTCTTTACTTTTGTAAATGTGCAATGTATTCATGACATTAATCCATACCACCATTTTATCATGACTGTAACACATGTTAACTGCATTTTTGGGCGGCATCATATTCCACAGTCCGTCACTGCCAATAATGATATAGGAATGCCGTTTGGGGTCGAGGGTCATCACTGTGGTATCAGGTTCTGGGGAGACGACAAACTCTCCACTGTAGAAATCATAGCTCCACAAATCACCTGTTCCGAAATAAAATATTAGGATGAGTCATCTCAAATGTAATTTTATGGCCGGAACAAACCGGTGTGTTCTTTACCAAGAGATCGAGCTACAGCCAGAAACGGGATCTGGTCWATGACGGTACTCCTCCTCACGGGGCCGTTATGCGTCAGCCTGGGCCTCTTCCACACGACACGATTCACCCCAGATTTCTTCATGATACTACAGTTAAAATGACAAAATTATACGAAAGCCTGATAAAATATATTGCAGTGCTGGGAGGAAGAAATTATTTTGGTTATGCGACAAAGCCTTTGACCTAAAACAAACACTTCCACACACRAAACCTTTAAAAGTGTCGGTTCAACTCCCACCTGCCACCTAGGCGCTCTATCCTTTCCTTTTCTTTAGGAAGCTCAGGTTTATGGTCTTGTGTGATTTCCAGTGCTTGCAGCGTGATGTCAGAGTCATTCTCCTTCACTCCAACCACCACTGCTGAATCCCCTACATGGGCAACGTACATGTGAACTCCACGGATCACGATTACGCTGGCTGTGGTGCCTGATGTGCTGGGAAGGCCAGTGATAGTTTTGGGCCACTCCGCTGTAAGAGAAAAGGGGTAAARATAGAGATTAAAATAACAGCTGACTGCTGGAATCATACAGAAGATATACTGTAGTTAAAATCTCCGAGGCATTAAAAAAGTGCAGCAATATTAATTAGCTTGTATTTAAATAATGGCTAAATTTAGTTCTTACAAGACTGATTTTAAGATAATGAAAACACACACAGTTCATGACTATTAGGACCTTTAAAAGGGTCAATAAAGTGCCATTACCGTCCGTTTTATTTTTCAGATATCTTTAAAATCGTAATTTATTCCACATTAGCACAATCTACAGTGGGCATTTTCAGCTTGCAACCAAATCTGAGGCAAACGACTGCCGTTGAAACAGCAGAGAAACATTTTTTTGATGTAACCTCTGCTTGTTTTTACTCTATCAAAATCCTGCTTATATACACAGAAGTTAATAAAAAAAACTTGATCACTTGGATGATCAATGCTTAGAACCCACACAAGCTAGATTGTTTTACCTGATGCATTAAAAGCTTGAAGGCTCACAAGGAAATACTTGTCTCATTTAAAAATAAATCTATTTTTGAGACAAGGATAGAATAGTTATGATTTGTTACAATAATCCATATAATAGTCCAGCTTTTTAAATGTGCTGTGACAACATCACACTCTTTTTTTTCTTTTTTTAGCTTAATGATACCTGTAAATGTTTTACCACCTAATGATGATATGTGAAGTAATTTTCTGACTGAACTATTTGGATAATAATAATAATAATAATAATAATAATAATAAATCCTCGTGACACAATATCCTGCATGCTTTAGTTGTTTCCCTCGAGGACCAGAGTTTATACCTGWGCATGCAGGTGAAAAATGAGGTCCAGAATGATTAGTGGTGCATGTTGAGGACTTACGCAGCTCCTTCCACATTGCGTGGTGACAGGCGATGAAGCCTTTCCGTAAAGCGGCACACACCTCACCGTGATCCTTCGACCAGAAGCCCCGCTGTCTCTTCAGCAGATCCCACAGATGCTCGCTCGCGAAATGCGCCGCTTCACGACCCCCGTGGCCGTCGAACACAGCGAAAAACGCCACGGACTTCCGAGTGTCAACAATARGCCCCGCGTCCTTTCCGCCCGGCYCTGAGGTACTGATGCTGCTAATGTCCTCGTTGGATAAAGTCTCTACCCACGCCGCAGTGCCAGGTCCTGACTGAACATGGGTCTCAATTACTGTCTGTTTGCTAGATTCAGCCTCAGCTTTCCCTTGTCCTCCATGTCTCTGCGACTTCAGATAATCCTCGTCTGCTGACGCCGTCGGCTCGTACTCGATCCTTATCTCGATAACATCCTCCATGTATTTTCTCCCTCCTTGGTCGGAAAACGCACTCATACGAAACAGTAACGCGTCGTCCATGATTGCACGCCACCGACAGAAGCAGTCTAAGCGACGAAAAGATGCATGCAGCGGCTAACTTATAGCTTGGAAGCTAAAATTTTAAACCAATTTTGCCGCGATTGTGTCGCCGAAGGCTTCCTTCCTTTTTGTTTACCCTTTCCGAGACGTCCTACTGTACGTAATGACGTCACGCCCGCCCACCTATCATTTTACGTTGCTTCTTCAGCCCACATACTGTAATAA